TTGACTTAAATGGCACAGTAGCAGTCACCTTGCCAGCTAACAAAGTGATGTCAAATTATAAGCTTCTGGTGTGAAGTTAGCAGTCATTCATTTTTTATATTCCCTATAGTGCGTGGAAGAAAGCCTTATACAAATAAAGGAAATACATATCGGGGGTAGGGGGAAGGCCTTTAGAATTAGCTAGACTTGGTTTCCAATCCATCTTGCCATTTCTAGTTGTATGATCTTGACAAAATTATTTAACTTCTCCAAGTCTCATCTTCCTGGACTGAAGACGACATTAGCACACATATTACACCCAATGAATGGATGTAACGGATTTACCACAAGGGCTGACAAACAGGTGTTCAATAAATATTTATAAATTAGTACGTGTTCCCTAGTGAAGAAGGGTGTTCAGCCCTGTTCATTCATCTTTTTCCTACTAATGTTGTTTATACCAAGAAATATTAGGTCTTTACCCAGTTCATAACTAAAAAAACTTATTAAAAACAATAAAACAATTAGCTACATAGAATAAAATATATTAAGTAAAAACCAACAGAAAGCTCACATTGCCTTGACAAAAATTTAGATCTGCAGAATTTGAGCTGGGAAATTTGGGCTCGTTAGAAATAAACGCCATAAAGAAAAAGAGAGAAATAACCCTACCATACCTGCCCATACCACTGCAAAAGGTATCAGTAATAGGAACATGCAGTGAATAATGAACCATGAATTCTCATTTCCATGAACAACAATTGGCTTTGATGAAAATGATTTTGGTTAAAAATAGGGAAAATTATTAAAATATTTGCATTCATAAGCACAGAGTCAAAACATAGCTGGGATCAAAAAAGTGCCCGGGATCAAAGCACCCTATACGGCCTTGATAATGACACAGAGAAAATGGGAAGCAGCACAGAACAGAGCAGAGGTCCCGTGATGATCAAAAGTGCTTCTCCCCTTTGCTGGAAGAAATTAAGTCTGCTGCTGGCTTTCTTCCCTTAGGAAGACCAGGTGACAGCTGTAGAGAGCAACCCCTGAGTTTTTACAGGGGCAGCAGAGAGAATGGGATCATTTGCTCTATTGTTAACATCTGAGGTTTTCCTAGTTTGAAAAGAAGTTGTCTTTTTTTTAGAACTATGTAATTTTCCTGCAAGTATAAGAAAATATTACACAGTAATTACAGACAGAAGGGGAACTGGGGTCTATATAAGAGAGGGAATTTGTTCAGTGGGCGTCTCCCCACTTCTCTGGCTTTGAAAGAGGTCAGAGGGTCTACAGATAGTCACATGACACCCAACTAGGAAAATTCATGCTGCAGAGAGGAGCCGTTTCTCTGACAGGGTGTTAGGATTTGAAATGCTGTGCTTTTATTAAATAAGGCATATGCCATGAAAGGATTTCAGGAGTGGCGGGTTTGCCATGGCCTTAGGAATGGGGCCAGATCTTTAAGGTTGTACTCAAAGGGTTGGAGTCATTTTTCCAAGATCCAGGCAAGTGAGTTGTGGAACAGAGGCCCCCAGCATGGTGGCTAATCCCTGGGTCCTATCATCTTAGAGCCGGAATCCTGAACCTGACTTCTGAGGGTTGGGGGATGAAAGGAAAGGGATAAGAGAAATAAAGGGCACAGATTATTTTCTAGCTATATTTCCTTGAGGCTAATATTAAATAAATTAAATAACTGTTTATGTAATGAGACATTCCAGAAGAGGATATGATAGCCCTGAAATTAAAAATCTGCTGTGAGTAATTCACAACATCGATCCAAGATAACTAAGACCTGCAGGTCTATTACCTTCTAAGTGACAGAATGAATTCCCTCTTAACTTCTCACTAGATTTTCACCTACTTCATCTCTTTTGCTCCTCAGGTCAGAGGATCAGGGAAAATGACCATCACTTTTTCATAGGTTAAAAAACAGCTTTCAAGATTAACAGAGAAAGGATTCTTTAAAGCAGAGGTGGGGAATGTCCGACCTATAAGGCCCACAAAATCATTTGTTCTGGCCCTGCCAAGGCATTAGGAGTGAGTTAATTAAATGTTTGACCAAATATAACGGGCTAATTTTTAAGTTGATAATTTTGTATGGCCCGAGAATGATGTTATAAATATCCAAATGGCCCCTGGCAGAAAAAAGGTTCCCCACGCCTGATTTAAAGGGAGGAATGAGACTAGAACTCATCAGCCCTAAGCTCCCCTTAACACACAACCCTATGTCTACAAAAATGACAATTTGGGGGGAGGCATGAACCTCTCTGAGAATCTAATAAAGACTTTACATCCTTGCTCAGGAAAAATACGCGCGCGCGCGCTCGCGCTCACACACACACACACACACACACACACACACACACACACATAATATTTATAATTAATTTCAAGAGGTTTATGAGTTTTTCCACTCCACACACAGCCCATGGAACCAAGGTCTAGTCTTCGCAGCCCTGTGGGGCTGGCTGGCTGCTGGGGCTCTGTGAGGTGCAGTCCCGTTGTCTCTGACCCCTTTCTTTAATCAAGGGAACCTAGGCACTCTTTAAAGGAATACTTCCCACAGGCCAACAGTTGATTATTGTGGTCATTTGCACTTCCTTAAACTCCTCTTGTATACACAGAAAAGCAAACACAACATTCCCCCAAAGCAACATTAAAGGTCTGATCGCAACCCACAACACTACAAGAAAATGGAGATCTTTAGCCACACGACATACATGCAGAATCACAGATTACTTGAGTTGGTATTTAGTCGATGGACTTGGCTTTTAGAGCTATCATTGCTGATATGAAGTAGTACTTGTAAGTCTCTTTGTTTTCTTATCTTAGAGATATATGGACTAACCTTTATAACACATCCAGGGATCTTGGTATCAAGATAAATTACACAGCAATTCCTCTGAGTAGCAGCCTGTGGCACCAATACTGACGAGCTTACTAAAGGCAAGAGAACTGCATGCAGAAGGACCCACCCACTTGGGAAGCCGGCTTCCCATTAGAGAGCCCTTGGGGCCTGGAAAGCAGTACCTTTATATGCAAACCCACCAATAATACAAAGCATGAAATCCAATAAAATGCATGACCATTGTCATCAGGGGTCAGGAGTATTCTGCCCTCTCTTTCTGCTTAAGTTATATTCTCATGCTGACTCTTAAGCTTCAAAAAGTTTCCAGGGGAAACAAGAACCAGAAAATAAACAAGACTTCCATAAATGAGAAAGAATAGAGAGGCCCAACCTTCTTCCTCAGGATGCAGCAGAGGACTCTGGGAAAGCCCACAGGGCTCACCTGTGGAGTCTCCAACTTCTTCCTTCACATCCACAGGTTAACTATGGAGGGTTCTAAGAGCCACACTGGCCCAAATGGAGCGTGACTCTCCGCTCTCTGCGCCTGAGGCCCCCTCCTCTGTAGACTGTAACGTACTGGCTTTCATTTCAAGGGTACAGTCTAAACATTTACATTGATGCAAATAGAAGAGTCAAAGTGAAGCCCATTTCTCCTGTTCAGTCTATATTTTTATGACATCATATCTCCTTTTGTTCTCACAGGAAGCCAGTAAAGGTGCATTTCTATTCTCGGTTGAGAAAGGCCTCTCAGTACAACACAGTGCATTTATTTCCCAAATCAAAGCAAAGCCCAGGGATACAAAAACAAAGAAATTATAAAACCGCGGAGACTTGCTATGCTGATTAGAATTTAATGAAATTAAGTAAAATCTTTAAACTGGCGCTTACAATAAACATTTACACACACCTGCCCACATCAAGTCAGTGGGAGTCTGTGCCACGGCAGAGCAGTGCTGTGCTGCTGTCGGGTGAAGGTCCAAGGGCAGCGCAAGAAGGAGTTCAAGGATGGAATGCGTGTGCTCATTCGACTCTGAATCCAAGTCTATTTCCAAACACGATTACAAAATCTCCTTCTCCCATCTCCAAAAGCCAGAGAGTTGCCTATTTTGAACCACAAACCGAACTATACACCTTTGGGCTGGTTTAATAGAACTACAGTATTGAAAGAATGGGTCAGCTCTAGAAAATAGTTTGGAAAACAGGAATACATTCCCAGCTTCCACACATTACCAAGAAGGCT